AAACACACACATAGATCAATGGAATAGAACAGGGAGCCCAGAAATAAACCCACACATACATGGTTAACAAATTTATGACAAAGGAGTCAAGAACATACATTGGGGAAGGGATATTCTCTTCAATAAATGGTATGAGGAAAACTGTAGAGCCATATGCAAAAACTGGACCTCTATCTTACACCAGACACAAAAAATCAACTCAAAATGGATTGAAGACTTGAATGTTAAGACCAGAAACCACAAAACTCCTAGAAGAAAATATAGACAGTAAGCTCCTTGACATTGTCCTTGGATTTTTTGAGTGTGACCAAAAGCAAAGGCAACACACCCAAAAATAAACAAGTGGGACTACATCAAAAGAAAAAGAAAAAGCTTCTGCACAGCAAAGAAAACCAACAAAATAAAAAGGCAACTTACTGAATGAGAAAAAATATTTGTAAATCATATCTGATAAGGGTTAATATCCAAAATATATAAAAAACTCATACAACTCCATAGGAAAAAAACAATCTGATTTAAAAATGGGGACCTGAATAGACATTTTTCTAAATGGCCAGCAGGTTACAAGAAAAGGTGCTCAGCATCACTAATCTGGAAATGCAAATCAAACCTCAATGAGATCACCTCACACCTGCTATTATCAGAAAGACAAGAGATAACAAATGTTGGTAAGTATGAGGAGAAAAGAGAACACTTGTGCACTGTTGGTGGGAATATAAACTGGTATTGCCACAATGGAAACAGTATGAAGGTTCCTCAAAATATTCAAAATATAACTACCATATGGTCCAGCAATCCCACTTCTAGGTATATATCCAAATAAAATGAAAACAGGATATTAAAGAGAAATCTGTACTCCTGTGTTCATTGCAACACTATTAACAAAAGCCAAGATAAAGGAAACAACCTATGAGGTTGTCCTATAGGAAACAACCTATGAGGTGTCCATCCATGGATTAATGGATAAAGAAAATGTTTTTTATACATATAATGGAATATTATTCAGCCATGAGAAAGCAGGAAGTCCTGCCATTTGTGACAACATGGATGGGCCCCGAGGGTACTATGCTAAGTGAAATAAGCCAAACAAAGAAAAATAAATACTCTATGGTATCACATGTGGAATCTAAAAAAAAAAAAAGAAGAAGTCAAACTCTTAGAAACAGAGTAGAAAAGTGGTTTGGTTGTCAGGGGCTGGGAGGTGAGGGAAATATGGTAAAATGGTACAAACTTTCAGGTATAAGATGAGTTAAGACCGGGCACCTGAGTGGCTCAGTCGGTTAAGCGTCTGCCTTCAGCTCAAGTCATGATCTCAGGGTCCTAAGATCAAGCCCCATGCTGGGCTCCCTGAAAAAGTCTGCTTCTTCCTCTCCCTCTGCCCCTCCCCCCACCCTGCTGGTGCTCTCTCTCTCAAATAAATAAAATCTTGGGGAAAAAAAGATCTGAAGATACAATGTAAAATGTGATGACTATAGTATTATATAATTGATATTTGTTAAGAGAGAATTTCAATGTTCTTACCAAAACAAAAGAGAGAGAGACTGAGAGAGAAAGAAGTATCTACAAATATTCAACCAACATAACTGATGTGTTCTTAAAAATCCTAAGTAAAGTTCCATATGCCAAATACATTTTCCACCAAATTGTCAACAATAGGTCTAGAGATAGTGGGTTAGAGCTACTGGAGATGTTCATAGCTATAGTAGATCCTACAAAAAGCAAATGATGCTAGACTACTAACTGGCTGTGGGGGTTAGGGTAGATGGGGAGAAGGCTAAGAAGTGTGTCATGGTTGTATTGCTTAACAACTCTTTTGATCAACTTAATGTGTCCCCTTTGGCACTTTTCTAACAAAACTAAAGCTGCTCTCTCTGAATTAATCCCCATTGGCAGACACTGTGCAGCAGGGAGCTGAACACTTCTCATTAGGTGGGAGATACGGAAGAGCTGATGGATTCAAGGAGGGTCATTAAGGATAAATGTGGAGTCTCCTGCCTGAAGCAGCACAGAAAGAGGCCTGCTAAGGTTCAAGAAATAGGCTGGTGAAGGTAGCAACCTCACCTTGCTCACCTTCCCACCTATGTGAGGGCATAATGGACATCACTCCGCTCCTGGGCACAGGCTGTCTGCCCACACCTACCTAATCCCGGAAGAGTTTAAAGGAACCAAAGGAAGCATCACAGGAGCTGGGAATGGCCAAAGATCCTCTTCAGATTGTTAATCTCTTAACAGTAGTCCATAGAGTATAAAATCAGGAATGTGGCAGCTTCTACATTCTTTTTTTTTTTTTTTTTTTAAGATTTTATTTATTTGACAGAGAGACACAGCGAGAGAGGGAACACAAGCAGGGAGAGTGGGAGAGGGAGAAGCAGGCTTCCCGCTGGGCAGGGAGCCTGATGCGGGGCTCGATCCCAGGACCCTGGGATCATGACCTGAGCCGAAGGCAGACACTTAATCGACTGAGCCACCCAGGTGCCCCAGCTTCTACATTCTTAAGGTCCAAGCTACTTCAGCTCTGAGTCCCCAGAAGCACTAAATGAACTCTGTTAAAGAATACCTTTCCCTTTGCTGTCCTTTTTTCTTTTTTAAGATTTTATTTATTTATTTTTGAGAGAGAGAGCAGTGTGCACAAGTGGGGAAAAGGGGCAGAGGGAGAAGCAGGCTTCCCGCTGAGCAGGGAGCCCAATGCGGGACTTCATCCCAGAACCCTGGGATCATGACCTCTGTCAAAGGCAGATGTTTAACCAACTGAGCCACCCAGATGCCCTGCTGTCCTTTTTGACTGTCTCTATGGTTTTGTCAAATGGCCTTCATTTCAAATACCTCAGAAAGCCCTGTTTCTACTATGAGACTGGCTTATAAATCACCAATAAAAGTTCTACACATTCAGAAAGGGTTTGGATCCTGAGTAGTTGCATTTTTTTAACAGGGAAAAATAGAAAAACAAAGCATTTCAGAATCACCAAATGCAACTAGACAATAAAGCTGAGAGGATGTATTTACTTTTTATTTCCAAGAATAAAATATGTTTGCAAAATACACTGTACATACAAAAATTGTGAATTCCAAATCAAATCAAAATTATATCCTTCTTTCTTTTCTTTTTTGACTTTGACATATTCCTCATAAAAGAATATAAATATATAACATCATCACTAATCTCATTAACCTCTAGCAAACTCCTCATTCTTGCCATGATCTTTGATGACTATAAAATCCTGAGGACTCTTAAAAGACTGCCCTAAGGACTTAAAGGTGGAAAATAAGTGGCCATAATTAATTTTCATATGAAAATTATGAATAAAAAGATATAAAGTGTAACAGCACATACATGAAACATGGAGGAAGGAATAAAAAAAGGGGTTTTTTTTAGAATGTATTTGAGCTTAAATGACCATCAACTTAACATAGACTGCTATATATTTAGGATGTTATAAATGAACCTATGGTAACCACAAATCCAAAACTATAATATATACCAAAAAAAAAAAAAAACCACAAAGAGAAAGAAATCCAAACACCACACTACAGAAATTCATCACAAAGAAAGAGTGCAAAGAACAGAGAACTATAAAAATGACCAGAAAACAATGAACAAAATGGCAATAGGTATATACCTATCAATAATTAAACATAAATGGCCTAAATGCTCCAATCAAAAGACACAGGGTAGCACAACAGATTAAAAAAAAAAAAAAAGACCTATATACTGCCTATAGGAAACTCACCTCAGACATGAAGAGACATGAAGACACATACAAAATGAAAGTGAAGGGATAGAAAAACATTTACCATGCAAATGGACATTAAAAAAAAAAAAAAAAAAGGCCAGGGTAGCAATACTTGTAACAGACTAAACAGATTTTAAAACAAAGACTGTAACAAGAGATAAAGAAGGGCATTACAAAATGATAAAGGGATCACTCCAACAAAAAGATATAACAATTGTAAATATCTCTGCACCCAACACTGAAGCACCTGAATACATCAAACAAATATTACTGAATACAAAGGGAGAAATTAATGGCAATACAATAATAGTAGGGGACTTTAACACCCAATCTACATCATTGGATGTAAGGAAAATCAATAAGGAAACAGTGTCTTTGAATGACACATTAGAGCAAATGAACTTAACAGATATATACAGAACATTCCATCCAAAACCAACAGATGACACATTCCTTTCAAGTAAACATGTGACATTCTCCAGAACAGATCACATGTTAGGCCATAAAACAAGTCTCAATAAATGTAAGAAGACGAAATCACACCATGCATCTTTGCTGACAACAGCGGTATGAAACAAGAAATCAATCACAAGAAAAAAACTGGACAAAACACAAACATGTGGAGGCTAAACAATAGTAAACAACCAATGGTCAGCGAAGAAATCAAAGAAGAAATAAAAAAATACAGGGAGACAAATGACCTACATACAAATGGTCCAAAATTGTGAAAACAGTTCTAAGAGGGAAATATACAGCAATATGGACTTACTTCAAGAAGCAAGAAAAAGCTCAAATAAACAATCTAACTTTACACACCTAAATGAACCAGAAAAAGAATAAACCAACCCATGGTGAGTAGAAGGAAAGAGAAAATAAAGATCAGATCAGAAATAAATGACACAGAGGGTGCCTGGGTGGCTCAGTTGGTTGGGCGACTGCCTTCGGCTCAGGTCGTGGTCCTGGAGTCTCAGGATCGAGTCCCGCGTTGAGCTCCCTGCTCAGCGGGTAGTCTGCTTCTCCCTCTGACCTCCTCCCTCTCATGCTCTCTGTCTCTCATGCTCTCCGTCTCTCTCAAATAAATAAATAAAATCTTAAAAAAAAAAAAAAAAAAAAGAAAGAAGTGACACAGAGACCAAAAATAAATAACCAAAAATAGAAAAAAAAAAAAAAAATGAAAGCCGGCGCCCGGAGAAGCAGGAGGAGAGGTCGGAGCCATCTCCAGGAGCCTTAGAGACCGAGTCCTTGGCAGCGGTGGCGGTGGCAGGGGAGCGCACCGGCAGATTCATTCCACCACTTACTTACAAGCTGAAAACGGTAGGCCACGGGAAGTCTTACTGGTTTCAGGTAGAAACAACAGTTGAAGATGTCCAGCAAAACGGCAAGCACCAACAACATCGCCCAGGCCAGAAGGACGGTGCAACAGTTGAGGATGGAAGCCTCCATCGAGAGAATAAAGGTTTCAGAGGCGTCAGCAAACCTCATGTCCTACTGTGAGGAGCACGGCAGAAGAGACCCTTTGCTGATAGGGATACTGACCTCAGAAAACCCTTTCAAGGATAAAGAAACTTGCATCATCTTACAGAGGAACAGTGAAATGGCTCCTCGCCTCTTCTCAACAAAGCAAATTATGAGCAGCAACTTGGAAGAAATTTACCTTCAGCTTATTTGGTAACCACTGCTAATAACTAAAATACTCTAACTTGGGGGGAAAAAAAAAAAAGAAAAAAAAAATGAAACCAAGAGCTGGTTCTTTGAAAAGATAAACAAAATTGATAAACCCTTAGCCAGACTCATCAAAAAAAAAAAAAAAGAGAGAGAGAGAGAGAGAGAGAAAGGACCCAAATAAATAGAGAAGGAACAACTGACACCACAGAAATACAAAGGTTTATAGAATACTATGAAAAATTATATGCCAACAAATTGGACAACCTAGAAGAAATGAATAAATTCCTAGAAACATACAATCTTCCAAAACTAAATCAGGAAGAAATAGAAAATCTGAACAAACCAATTACTAGTAACAAAATTGAATTGGTAATCAAAGAACTACCAAAAATTAATAATCCAGGACCAGATGTATTCATAGGTGAATTCTACCAAACATTTAAAGAAAGAGTTAGTACCCATTCTTCTCAAACTATTCCAAAAAATGGAAGAGGAAGGAAAGCTTCTAAATACATTCTATGACACTAAAATTACCCTGATACCAAAACCAGACAAAGACACCATAAAAGGGAAAACTACAGGGCAATATCCAACAATACATTCAATGGATCACTCACCGTGATCAAGTGGAATTTATTCCAGGGATGCAAGGATAATTTAATATTTGCAAATCAATCCACACGATACAACCCATTAACAAAATGAAGGATAAAAATCATGATCATCTCAATAGATGCAGAAAAAGCATTTGACAAAATTCAACATTTGTTCATGATAAAGACTCTCAAAATAATAGGTTTAGAGGGAATATACCTCAACATAATAAAGACCACATATGAAAAACACAGCAAACATCATACTCAATGGTGAAAAACTGAGAGCTTTCCCTCTAAGATCAGGAACAAGACAAGGATGCCCACCTCTCACCACTTTTATTCAACACAGTACTGGAAGCTGAAGCCATAGCACTCAAACAAGAAAAAGAAGTAAGAGGCATCCATATTGATAAAGAAGAAGTTAAACTGCCATTATCTGCAGATGAAATGATATTACACGTAGAAAACGCTAAAGATTCCACCAAAAAGAACTATTAGAAGTGATAAATGAATTCAGTAAAGTTGCAGGATACAAAATGAATACCCAGAAATTAATAGTAGCATAGGGAATATAGTCAATGATATTATAGCATTGTTGGGTGACAGATGGTAGCTACATTTGGGGTGAACATAGCATAACACAAAGAGAAGTTGAATCACTATGTTGTACACCTGAAACTATATAACATTGTGTCAACTATACTCAAGTAAAAAAATTAAAAAGAAAAAAAATTGCCCCAAGACCCCTAATCAGAATTACTGCAAAGTACATTTAAAACAAAGGTACTGACTAACAGAGATGATCATGTATAACAATGTGTTCTTACCAATAGTACCAGACTTCGTTACATAGTGTCCTTAAATTTGGAGCTATTCCACAGAGAATCCCCAAATTTGCAAATCCTTCCCTCTTCAAGCTTACAGATCCCATGTTTTTAGATCACCAAGGATGGTAAATGAAATACCTCTCAGGCTAGAGTTCCTTATTTGGTAGGATTCCTTGGTCACTTGTTTTCTTCCCTGGGCTAATGGATTTGGTTTTATCGTAATGTTTATTTTTATACACATGCCCAAAGGCCTCCTACTTTTTAGAAACCTAATAAATACTTCATGATAACTAAATTTGTTAAGATAACACAAAAGATTTTGTCTATTACTTAAGAAGTACATGGTTTCAATTAAATAAGCAGTCCAGTGCATAGTTCAAAAAAATTATAAAAGATTTGAATATCAAATTTGGATACTTTTTTGTAAAAAGCAAATATAAAGCCTATGGCCTTTTAAATGGCAGGTTTGTGCAACATAAGCCTGTTCTTCTAAATGAACCTCTGTAATTGCACAGTTAAACTTCAAGGTGCACTTTGCATTTTTTACAATATATAAGTTGAAAAGATTATCGAGTTAAACCAGCCCGTATCTTGCCTTTTCAATACATAACTTTGTGCTATGTCCTGTCCTATACACACTCCAAGTAGTTCTAGTCATGAGCTTAATGTAAATACTGCAAGTGTCATTACACTGAACTTCTGACTACATCTCTGTCAAAATGAGCACCTAAGATGTATTTTACAAAGTTTCAGTTATAAAAATAACACACTCTTTTTTTTTTTTTTTTTTTTTGCGAGAACGAGAATGAGAGAGAGCACGAGAGGGAGGAGGGTCAGAGGGAGAAGCAGACTCCCTGCCGAGCAGGGAGCCCGATGCGGGACTCGATCCCGGGACTCCAGGACCATGACCTGAGCCGAAGGCGGTCGCTCAACCAACTGAGCCACCCAGGCGCCCTAAAAATAACACACTCTTGAGATGGATTTCTATCAGTTGAAGGCAACCTTTAATTTTTTGAAATCCCTCCATTCCATTATATTGTTTTTGAAAAGCCAGCAAGTAGAAAAACAGACCAATCCTGAAGAACAAACTGATGAGCCAACACTAGCATGCTAAAGCAAATCAAGCTAATGTGAAGGAAAGCATTCCAAATAAAAACAGATGGTAGTGTAGGGCCTCAACCCAGTTCCCTCTTATCTCAGAGTGAGCCTCATTGTCTGCTCCTTATTGTTTTTAAAGATGTACAATCTAGCAGGCAAAAAAAAAAAAAAAAAAAGGCTTGAAAATTAATAAGCTAGAGACTACTGTACAAGCTTTGGCTAATTTGAGGTATAAACTCTGGCACTTAACCTTTCTCATCCTTAATTTTGAAAGTCAGGAAATTCCACTTTACTGGCATATTTTAGAGAAACTAGTCAGTTAACTTTTGGTAAATCACTTTGATCACTTCAAAGAGGCTATAGAAAGAGATTACTAAATCATCATGAAACTTTATTTTGGAAAAACATAGAAATACATAGAAAATTGTAATTCTAGAACTGAAATGAGTTTGTCTCAAAATAGAGTCTCCTGCTTTATCCTATAAGAACTTGTTCTCAGAAATCAGGAGTTGATCTAAATAATTCTCTCGCTTTTTCTACATTACAGAACGCTATAAATAGAAAAGCTCTTAAATGTTTTTATGGGGAGAATGAGAACAATGTCTGAATAATCACACCTATCCCTGACATACATTAAAAATAAAAGTCATTCCACTTAAAATATTTTTAGATTTCCCAAGCCTCTAAGATGGTGCACATTTCCTTGAATATCGTCTTCATGCCAAGCACTGTGCTGTGGTCTAGCCCACTGGTTCTCAATTCTGTTGGGCCTAATACCCCTATTTTATAAACAATACCTTCAAACATTTGCTTTATAAGCTTGAAAAAATCCACAGGTAATAAATTGCACCTACACACGTAATTTCAAATAAAAATAGAGGATAATGCCTAAACTTTAGTACAAGGAAAATAACTTGTTATAAAATACTACATAACTTCAACAAATATATGGTCACAACTACACCAAAAAATATAATGATGAAGTCAAGTGCTTGCAGTTACAGAGAGAATCACTATGGATATGAAAACTGTATCAGCTGATGCAAGTGTGCTATATTTGTAACTCAAATACCATGAACGGCAATACTTTTAGTGATGTGATCTTCTAAAATGGTCAGGGGAGTAGGCAGAATAATACCCCTACACAAAGATGTCAGAGAGTCTGTGAATATGTTACTCTGCATGACAAAAGAAACTTTGCAGATGTAACTAAACGAAGGACCTTAAGAAGTGGAGATTAAGGGCGCCTGGGTGGCTCAGTTGGTTAAGCGACTGCCTTTGGCTCAGGTCATGATCCTGGAGTCCCGGGATCAAGTCCCGCATCGGGCTCCCTGCTCGGCGGGGAATCTGCTTCTCCCTCTGACCCTCCCCCTCTCATGCTCTCTCTCTATCTCATTCTCTCTCTCAAATAAATAAAATCTTTAAAAAAAAAAAAAAAAAAGAAGTGGAGATTATTCTGCATTACCTATGTGGGCCCAATCTTACGACATGAGTCTGTAAAGCTGCAGGACGTTTCCCAGCTGTGGTCAGAGAGAGAGAGGGCAGCACGAGAAGGACTCAGTGCTCTGTTGCTGGCTCTGAAACAGAAGGCATAGCGCCTTCATGTGCGAGGACTGGAGAGAGTCCAATCTAGAAGCTGAAAAAGGCATGGGTGAATTCCTTCATAACCTGGATGTAAGGACTCAAAACCTAGATATAATAGAACAAAATATTAATAAATCTAACTATAAAAAAACTTTCTTTAATTCTATGAGGCAAAAAAAAATTTATGCCTAGGGCGCCTGGGTGGCTCAGTTGGTTAAGCGACTGCCTTCGGCTCAGGTCATGATCCTGGAGTCCTGGGATCGAGTCCCACATTGGGCTCCCTGCTTGGCAGGGAGTCTGCCTCTCTCTCTGACCCTCCCCCCTCTCATGCTCTCTATCTCATTCTCTCTCTCAAATAAATAAATAAAATCTTTAAAAAAAAAAAAATTTAAGCCTAGATAAAGCCAAAGGACAACAGACACTGATAGAAAATACATGCAGCATATATCACAGACAAAAAGCAAAATGGCTAATACATTAAGAACTCAAAAACAGAAGGGAAAAAGGCCAAACATTCAATAGAAAAATGGGCCAAAAAAAACCAAAACAAAACAGGTAACTTAGTAAGAAAAGACATGATATAATGTCCCTTAAAATTAGAAATGATTTTCACAAACGTCTGGGTGGCTCAGTTGGTTAAGCATCTGCCTTTGGCTCAGGTCATGATCCCAGGTCCTGGGATTGAGTTCCACATCAGGCTCCCTGCTCAGGGGGGAGCCTGCTTCTCCCTCTGCCTGCTGCTCCCCCTGCTCTCTCTCTCTCTCTGATAAATAAATAAAATCTTTAAAAAAAATAGAAAGAAATGATTTTCAATTCCCTCCTAATATAAGAAATACAAATTAAAATTACTCCTTAGATACCATTTCGAAGTATCAAACTGGCAACCATAAAAAGCTTGGTAGCCCTGTCTGTCAGCATTGTTGATGGG